TTATAATCTTCACTGTCTTAATTCAGGATGCTGTAACAAAAATACTATGAGTGGATTAAACAACCAACATTTATTTCTTATAGTTCTAGATGCTGCAGAGTCTAAGATCAATGGACTGCAGATTTGGTTTCTCAGAAGAGCTTGCTTCCTGGTGTGTAAACAGCTGTCTTCTCCCTGAATCCTCCTGTGGTGAAAGAGGCAAGGGAGTTCCCTGGGGTCTCTTTTATACTGGAACTAGTATCATTCATAAGGACTCTACTCTTATGTCCTAATCACCTCTTAAAGTCTCCAACTCCAAATTCCATAACATTGAGGATTAGATTTCCACATATGAATTTTGGGAGGACACAAACAGTAATTCTGTAGTATCCACCCAACTTGATATTCTCATCATTATAATGCAAAATACCTTAAACTGAATGCCATCTAATTGTTAGTAGTAATATTCACATTATTATGAAACTCTAATAAACTCCTACAGGAACATATTGATAAGTAATTCTGTTAATGTTGTTAGGAACCAGGAGTTTTTCAGTGCAGGAAAAAAAGAAAAAAGAATGGAGTTTAAAAATAAAGTATCTGAAAAATCTCATAATGTTAAATTTGAATCAGATATGGTATAAATTCATCAATTTCTTTAAGTTTAATTTTTTTTTGAGAGAGAGAGAGAGAGAGAGAGAATGTGCTTGAGCTGGAGAGGGGTAGAGGAAGAAAGAGAATCCCAAGCACCCAAGCAGGCTCCAGGCCCACTGCAAAGCCTGATGATGGAGGGCTTGACCTCATGACCATGAGATCATGACCTAAGCCATGAAATGAAGACTCAGATACTTAACTAAGTCATCCAGGTGCCCCAGCAACTTGTTTTTCTTATAAAACTATAAATTGCTTAGAAACAACATGGCCCTTCAATATCAGTGAGCACACTTAGCACCCAGATTGTGGGTTCTACCCATCATTCTGCACTTTGGAGGAACTGTAGTTCTTTGGAGGAATAGCTGAGGTGGGAAGTAAACAAGGTATCTGGTATCTGGTTGTGCCAGAAAGTAAGATACTATCACAGATTAAAGAATGTGTCAAAAGGACACAGGAGCCAATATAAAGGAACTCCCATTGACCAGATAAAGCAGACTGAGCATCAAAAAGAGTAATAAATGCTATCACCCTTGAATTTATAAAAATCAATGGGTTCATGAAGATAACAAAAATGAACTGAACACATTGGAATTAACAAGGATACCAACTTCTTAGTCTGAAAAATAACTTAAATAAGAGAATTAAGCATTTATCCTGCCCTTACAGTGTGAAATGTCTTTCTGGATATCCAATTTCTAACCGATGTTCTTCTTTAAGAAATATTTCCAGAAAATTTCCAGCAAATACATTTAGATTGTGATAAATTATAAAATCATTTTGCAATCCCTAGTTGGTTCAAACAAGAATTATCAAAACTATCAGATGAAATGTATGATACATTTTAGCAACATTAAAAGGATAACCAAACATTATATGCCTCCTGATACCATCAAAACGAATTACCACCTGTGGTAGGTAGGATTATGCCTGCCCCCACCCTCCTGAAAGATGTCCTTGTCCTAATCACAGAACATGGCAAAGGGGAATTAAGGTTGCAAATAGAATTAAGGTTGCTAATTAGCTGACTTTAAAACAGGAAGATTATCCTGGATTATCCAATTGCACTGTGTGTAATCACAAGAGTCCTTAGAAGAGGAAAGAAGGAGGCAGAAGATGTCAGAATAATGCAATGTGAGAAAGACTTAACCTACTGGCTTGAAAAATGGGAGAAAGGAAGCCAATAGCCAAGGAATACGGGCAGCCTTTAGAAGTTGCAAAATCAAGAAAACTCTCCCTTAGAGCATCCCTAAGAGAATGCAGCCCTGCCTAAGCCTTGATTTTAGCCCAGTGAGAAACATGTGGAACTTCCAACCTATAGAACTGAAGGTAAAAAATTTGCATTGCTTTTAAGCCACTAAATTTTTGGAATTAAAGCTGAAGTTGAAAACTAATATACCATCTATTAATTTTTTTTTGCTAAAAAATTGAACCTGAATCTAATTAAGCCTCTGAAACATACATTTTCAGGAAATGTATGGTACACATAGACATAGTAAGTGATCCTACAACAACACAAACAGTAAAATTTTAAATGTGGCATATTCTACAGCTTAGTTGGCCAAGCTTCAGCCACAACATCAATGGCATGAAGATAAAAATGAGAGGGAACTGTTCTAGACTAGAAGAGATTCAGGAGACATAAGAACCAAATGCAACCTCTGAATCATTTGAAAACTGACTCTGTATCCATTTGTACAGTATATTTTTTAGGTCAGTTGAAAATTTATTTTTAAAAAAAATTTTTTTTAATTATTTATTTCTGAGAGACAGAGAGAGACAGCATGAGCAGGGGAGGGTCAGAGAGAGAGGGAGATACAGAATCTGAAACAGGTTCCAGGCTCTGAGCTAGCTGTCAGCACAGAGCCCGACCTGGTGCTCAAACCCACTAACCATGAGATCATGACCTAAGCCAAAGTCAGATGCTTAATGGACTGAGCCACCCAGGCACCCCGGAAAATTTTTATAATGGGCCATATAGTAAATGGAGTTACTATTAATTTGTAAGGAATGTTAGTGGTTATATAATGTGTTTATGTTAGGAAACATCCAATTTTTTTTTTTTAGAGATGCATATTGAAGTATGCTGGAATAAAATTAATGTCTGTGGCTTTACTTTTAAAAATTTTAGAAGGAAGGAAGGAAAGAAGGAAAAAGTTAAGAAAGGACTAAAGAGAAAGAAGACTCGATAAAGCATATATGCCCAATCATGGTAATTGTTGAATTTTGGTAATGTGTAAACTGAGGTTCATTGTATCTCTCTTTATTTTGTATGTTTGAAATGTTTCATATGAAGAGTGCCTGGGTGGCTCAGCTGAACAATCAACTCTTGATACTGGCTCAGGTCATGATCATAGGGTCATGGGATTGAGCCCCTTGTTGGCTATGCACCAGGTATGGAGCCTGCTTTGGATTCTCTCTCCCTCTGGCCCTCTCCTCCCTCATATGTGCTCTCTCTCTAAAAAATAAAAATAAAAAATTTGAAATATATCATATTAAAATATTTCTAAAGAAGGAAAAAATAATGCTCCTAAAAAAATCACTTTTCTTTCATGAAATTGTAGCCCTTGGAAGAGTCTTTTGCCTTCCAAGGCAATTTTACCTAAAATTGTCACACATGAGAATGATAATTAAGGCCAATCCTAACCAAAATTATGGGTTTAGCTGTGTCTACCTTCAAAGTTCCCATTACTAGTTTCTTAGAACTCTCTTTTCTTCCTGAAAGTCTTTCAGGAAAAAAAAAATCAGATAATTTCTCTCACATCAAGGTAAATAACTTCACAGCCTGATTTAATTAAAGTAAAAATAATGCTTTAAAAATTCTCTAATGTGAAGCATAATTAATGAGAGTTTTGTTTTTTAAAGGGGGGCTTTTTCTTTAATCATTTCATGTAGTCAGTTTCCTAAAGTGTTTTAAGAGAATTAAATTACATGAACCAGAAACCATTCTGTCATCCTTTTCTAACCAGAGTTAATGATAAATGCAATTGTGCATAATAAAAGTGATCAACTATTACTTCAACGGCTGATAAAGGGGCATGGTAGAAATCTGGCACGACTTTGAAGGAGAAGAGTTGGATGCTAGTCAGCCTAAGTTTTAATATCTAGACTACCACTATACTGGCTGTATGACCTGGCCCTATGTTGTCACGCCTCAGTTTACTCACCTGTAGATTAGACTCATAATAGTACCTACCTACATGGTGGTTGTGAAGATTTAGTTAATGCGTATAAAGCAAGGAAAGCAGTTCTCTCACCTAATAAGCACTCAATAAATATGAGCTATTATTATATTATCGTTGACATTCCTCTTTTCTACGGTTACTACTTCCAGTTATACTTTCCATAATGTGTCTGAATATGTGAAAGGGGCATTATTTGAAGAAACGACTGCTTTTTGTGCAATCTTATGGTAAGAGGTCCATACATTTTCCAAATCCCTGGTATTAGAAGAGACTCAGGAGACATAAAAACCAAATGTAACCACTGAAACGTTTGAAAACTAATTCAAACCAACCAACTATAAAGGATACCTTGGGTAGAACTTCTCAATGAAGCAGAACTATTGAGCCTTCTTCCTTTGGAGGAAATAAATTTAAAAAACACCAAAAGATTTTAAAATGATATCCAGTCCAGCTATTTTCTTCAGGGCAAAATATTCAAAACTCTCTACCTCACCAATCCACTCACTTCCCCTCACAATTAAAGGCTCTGCCCCTTAAACCTTACCTTCTCCCTTCCTCGTCATAAATATTATGGCCTTATATGCAAAGCGCTGGAATACATCCTTACATTTCTCACCTAAAGTTGATGACAAGTTCTATGAGCCACTCACTGGATTATAAAGCGATGGCGGTCTTTTAGACGTTGGATACACCTTTTCAGGGGATTCATGAATGTTCTAACTCTTGCTGATTTTACTGAGTTCTTTCCCTGCTCCTCACATCCCGTTTTTCTTGCCCAAAACAACAAAGCGAGGGAGCGTGACTCGCTACAGTAAAGGCCTCGTGAACCTGTTCTTCCCTAGAAAAAAAGCTCTGACAACCCAATAAGATATAATGTGGTGGAAACGCGCGCAGGTTGATTTACATTAAGGGATCGCCTCGCCATAAAACATCTATTAAAATGAGTAGCTAGCACCACCCGCAACGCAAAGCGGAAGAGGACAAGGAGTCGCACTGATTGATTATCCCCAGAGATGGTTTGATCCCTGGGCAATCGGGGCGGGGTGCTCGCCGGCCGAAGTAAACAGAGCTACTACGCCTGCGCACACCCTTCCCGGGTCACGTGCAGGCGCCGGCCTCCGAGAATGCCCCAGATAGCTGTGTGGCTGCAGTAAGGGACCGTGTGCAAACCGACCGGAGGCGTCAGCCTTTCCCTGAGGAGAGGATTTGGGTAGAAGAGGAGCGTTGGGTCGGAAACGCCCCTTTCTTCCACCGCCGGAGATTAAGAGCCGCTACTGGGCCTGCGGGGCGCCGCTGCTCCTTTTGTGGGACATGGCCCGCTGTGGGGAGGGCAGCGCGGCGCCCGTGGTACTTCTGAGGGGCCCTGGAGTTTGCAGGAAGGGGTTGCAAAGGAAAGGGCCCTGTGAGCGGCGCCGGCTGAAGGCGGTGATATCGGAGCAGCTGAGCCAGGATCTGCTCAGGTAGGAGGAGGCGGGAACGCTGGCTGCCTCAGTTCTTAAGGCATCCGTCTCCGCCCCAGCAGCGGTGGCTCCTTCTCTGCCTCTTCATCCCTCCTCTCCGCGTTCTCCTCGCCTCAGGCTTTTGAGGGACGAGTACCAGTCTCCTCACTACAGAGCCGTTCGCTCGCCCTAAAAAAAGCCCCGAGCACCTCGGAGACTATGTACCAGATTCAAAAAGGAAACCAAAATTATCATCATAGTTACGTGCAGCACCAGTTTATGCCGAAATAACACGAGCAGGCTTAGTTCTGGAAAGACCTGTCGCTAAGGTCGAGTTGGATCCAGATTTCATGGTCCTGAAAAGTACACTTAAAACAAAAATAAGCTTAAAGAGTTTCAGAAAAATGATAAAATTCGGTATGAAAATAAATATTTAGGTTAAGGAAAAATAGAACAATTAGTGTAGCATTACAGGTCACTTTCTTCCGAGCACTCTTTAAACAGTTTATCAAAAATGCATGGAAATACTTCCTGGTTGTAACCTGGCTTCCCCTCTCCACCTAAAACACTTTACAGCTCCCAGCAACTCCCAGCTCCCATGAGGGCCCAAGCAAGTGGAGGGTTGTTATGAACCTTAACTCAGGCTTTGGTGAATCCAGGTAATGACATCTCAGTTTATAAAGAAAATGAAGCTTAGGAATGTTCCCTAGCCAATTGCCATTTCCACCGAAACTGATTCCCCAGCTTTGGTGTTGGTCAGAATCACCTAGAGGCCTCGTTAAAGTTTAGATTTACTAGGTCCCAGACCATTGTACTCATTCAGTTGGTCTGGGCTAGAGCTTTTGCATTTCTAATGAGGTCCCAGGAGATGGTGATGCCGATGGCCCAGGTTACACTTTAAGAACACTGAGCTAGAGTAAACATAATTACCACTAATAACCAACTGTTGTGCTTTCTGTGGCCCGCACTTAAGGCTCCAGCAGCTGTAAGATGAGCTTTCTATAAAGTAAAAAAATTTCCTTTTTTAATTTGGGCCTATCTGCCCAAGATGCTGCTCTGAGTCCAACAGTGGGAGATTAATGTAAAAGATGGAAAAATAAAACTGAAGTTGTTCCGTTTCTAGGCTAAATCTGTAAGGATGAGGCACTCCTTCTCTTTAGTGGCTTTATTCTCCTGGCTTAAGGTGTCAAGATTTTAAGGAAGATAATGTGTCTATGTAAAGAAAATAAAATTAGAGTATAGCAAGTGAACAGTTTATGCTCATCCTAGTAGTAATTGAGAATAGAACCCTGAACTCCCAAGTTCCTGTTACAAGCAAAGCAAAATAGATGCAGCAGTTCTTTCTTGTTTAATTCTTTTTTTAAAAGTTTATTTATTTTGAGAGAGAGAACATGCGTGTGCACTTGAGAGCATGAGTGGGGGAGGGGCTGAGAGAAGGAGAGACAAAATCCAAGCAGGCTCTAGGCCATCAGCGCTGGATGTGTGGCTCCAACTCACAAACTGTGAGGTCATGACCCAAGTCGAGATCGAGAGTCAGACGCTTAACTGATGGCATCAACCAGGTGCTCCCCCCCCTTTTAAACATAAATCTTCATATGTGCACCCAGCCACCTTAGTTGCTGTGCCAAATGAATCTTTTTCAAGCACAGCCATATAATTGATTTATTCTGCAAATATTAATGAAATATCTACAACCACCATGTACCTAGATTTGTACTAGGTCCTGAAGAATCAAAGATTAAGAAGACATAGCTTTGGTGTTGTGCTTACCCTCTAGTTAAAGAGATAATAGCCAAACAATAGTGATGGGAACTGGGGTGAGTTTGGGGAAGGCTTTTTAGGGTGACATTTGAGTGATCTGTTGAGGATTGATTAAAAATTGATTAGGTAAAGATTAGGAAGAGAGAAGCCAGAGGATATCTAAACAAAGGGAATTGCTTTTACAACTAGGCACAGAGATTTGAAAGGGTTTGATTTATTTTGGGAAAGCAAGTTGTATTAGATTCTTCCCAACAGCAAGGAACAGAGATACCTCTGGGTTACTTGAGATAATAAGGTATATGGAGAAATGAGTAACATAGGAAACTTTCAGTGGTTGAGAAGCCATATCTGATGTAGAGTTGGAAAGTTGGGATATGACAGCAATTATACAGTAAGACTTCCCTGAGAAGTGGACCAATATTCAGGACAATTGTAATGCAAATAGCTAATACTGCCTATTCTACTTTTAGCTAGATGCTGGGTTGACATGTAATGTTTTATTCACTACCCTGTGAGGTAAGTCTTGTTATTGTTCCCATTTAACAGATAAAGAAACTGAACATTATGGGTGAAGTGGTAGAGTTAGAATAAAAGCCTAGTCTGACTCCAGAGACATGAAAGTGATTTGCTCAAGGTCACACGACCAGACTATGAACCCAGTGAGTCTACCTTCTCTGCAGTAGTTATGCAAACTGATCTTCCATTAATTTTGTTCCTCCATTTCTGCTTCTGTCCTTACCCACTTCTTTTTTTTATTCTACCTTGGATTTGCTTTGAAACTCTCCTAGAATGTCATCAGTCGGTTGCTATTTATTATAGAACATCTCTGCTAGAGTTGACTTGTTTACCACATTGGCTAATGGCAAATGTTGGCTCATTCCATTGTCCATTCAGATGTGATTATGAGCATCAGGGTCATGTGCTACAAAGCTGAGCCATATATAAATGATAAATGAATTTGGTAACTTTTGGGGAAAGGCTTGTGGGTATAGTTTCCATTCAAAGCGACAGCAGATGAGGGTGAATGGGGAAACTAAGACTAGACCATGGAGGCCTTTTTTCTTCAGTGAAGAGTTTGGAATGTATTGTGGAAGCAGTGGAGAGTATTTTTTAGAGAGAGAATTAACATATTTAGATCTTGAGTTGAGGGAAGAGAAATAGGAAACAAGGAAATCAGCTAGCAGATTTTTGTAATAGTCAAGGGATACGTAATGGCAGTGGCAATGGAAAAAGCGAAAGGGATTCACATGTGCAATTGATGGGCTTGGTGACCAATTACATGTGAAGGTATAGGGAAAGGGAAACAAATCTTAGAGCATTTGAAAGGGAGGAGTATGGTGAATGTTCAGGAAACCGTATCCAGGAGATAATTGGAAATACGTCTGGAGTTTAGGATGAAAGTTGGAGTAGCAGGTATACGTTAAAAGTTGGTGGCACCATCAGCACCCAGTTGTTCAAGCCAAAAAGAGGGGGTATTCTCTTCCATTCACCTTCTACATCCGATCACCAGCTCCTGCCAGTTTTATTACTGTAGTATATTTTAGTTTTATCCCCTGTTCTCTGTCACCATTGATCTCTCCTGGCTCAAGCCTTAACATCATTCATCTGTGTTGTGCAGCATTTTCCTCATTTTTGTTCTCATTTCCCCCTAATTCCTCTTCTACACAACTAATAGATGATATTTTGAAACATGAATTTGTCCATGTTTCATATCATTTGATTCCCCTTCAACTGTAACATAGAGTGAAACTCTTTGCCTCTTATTTATCTTCATTTGTCACTTCTCAGTCGCTCAGTACTCTCTGCTGACCATTTTGTAGCTCCACACTCACACATACCTTAGCAAGGAACATGGAACCAAGAACTCTCTGGGACCTTGCCTTGTTCCCCCGACCAACTTTTATTCAATCTTTAAAATCTCTTTATTGTGTGTCCTCTATAAGGTCTTTTTACATGTCTGTCTCTGAAAAATATTTACTTATTTGGGTTATTGAATTATCACACTCTGTAGTTTTCAGACCTGTCTTTCCTACTATTCAATAAAATTCTTGAGTGTACATAAGATGTTTTAGTCATTATCTGTCCCCAGTGCTTGGTACATCATACATGCACATAGTGATAGTCAGTCCAAAATGCACTAGATAGGTTAATGCATAGTTGGCAGAGAAATGTCATAGAACGAAGCTGGGCCTTGACATGGTTGAAGCTTTGCTCCAACCTGTCCTTCCTCTAGACTATACTATTAGGTGAGCCAATAAACCTCTTTAATGTTTAAGCCAGTCTGAGTCAGATACCTCTGTTACTTTTAACACACAACATTTCCTTGTAACTGATATGATTTTGTTTAAAAAAGAGGGCACTATATTTTCATATTAACAATTTTTTAAACATATTAATTTTTTTTATTTAACAAATACTCATGAGCATGCATTATGAACAAGGGAGATACCCTAGTAATGGTTATATGGCTGTTAGTTGCATTGCTTCCTTATGCATTTGAGGAGGAGTGTAGGATGGAGTGAAGGTGGGTGGGAGAAAGGAACAAATTGAGTATTTGTACAGTTTTTTTTTATTAATGTTTGAGAGACAAATACATTTTTGCATAACTTTAAAAACCACTTATGGAAATTATTTATTGATGAAAATATTGTCTAAAATGCTTCTGCCTTTTCATTGTTTCCAGGGTTCTGAAAGTTTTGTGCTCTGAAGCATTTGTTTTGTTTAGGGTAAAATACAACAAAATTCAACAAGCAGATACTGAGCTGTACATACTAAATATACAGTTTTTGCCTTTGGGGAATTTATCATCTAGTAGAGAGAAAGACACAAATAATGATGCCATGACAAGTGCTGTAGTAGAGGTATGCACCAAGTGTGTTGGAATCAGAGGCAGGAGCCATTAACTTGGTCTTGGGGGAATATGAGTGTCAGTGGTAACATTCGAAGCTTTCACTGTAATGGATATCTTAATCCATTACTTGTACCTCCTCTAGCGTACTGGTGTGATTGCCAGTTTTATTCTGCAATACAGAAATCCCCTGAAAATACATACTTTGCCAAGGATAATGATACAGTCATAGGAAGTATTAGTATTTAGAGAGTAGAAAAATAGAGTTTCCACAGGGACAAAAGATTATGACAGTTTGTATTATGATGCTGACTTCTGTTCTTCCATCTCTTGACATGTAATCAATGGGCTTTACCATAACTGTGCCTGTGTATTAGTAAAAAGGAGTTGAATGGGTTACCCCATGAGCCCATTTTAATAAATTAGAGCATGTGTGAGGAAAAAAATGGAAAAGGGCTTAAATGTCACATTCTTGATGGCCAAGCCTGCCTTTTCAGACTTGGTATTTAACAATAGTTGGAACAAAATGTACCAGTTTCTAATCTGGGATTGTCTATTGTTATATTCGGTTTGCATGTGTTGTTGACATTTTACTTTTTTTGCTTCTTTTAGTAAGATTTTAAAAAATTGATTCTTTTCAATAGTCAGTGACAATATTACTTTGTGTTCTTTTTCTGAAATAAGTCTCAAGTAGGTACATTTTTAAGGAAAATCAACACAAATAGCAGAAGATAAATTTTATTATTACCAGAGGAAATTAAAAAGAAATTTTCCAGAAGTCCTACTTTTTAGTGTAATTACCTTTGTTTTCACTATAAATTTTAGAAAATTAGATTCTAAGCTAATATTAAATAGTATTTTTGGAATGAATGGAGAACAAACTCCATTTCATGTTAACCTATTTTTGTTTTGTTACCTTATCTCTGTAATTTTTAGTTATTTTGAAAAGTTATTTTATAAAAATGGGTATGTTACATATTTCTGAGTATCACTAATTAAACTATGGTTCCTTTTTATCATTTCAGGCTCCTAACAGAAGAAATCCATACAGATGTTACTTTCTCTATAGGCTGTACTTTGTTCAAAGCACACAAAGCAGTCCTTTTAGCAAGGGTTCCTGACTTCTATTTTCATACTATTGGACAGACATCAGATAATTTAACAAATCATGAGCCTGCTTTTGTGGAGAACTTTGAAGCTTCAGAATTTAGAAGATTTTTACAGTAAGCGCTTTCTTTATCTTTTTTCTCTTAAAGTCCAATATATGATTGCTTATCTTTTAAACACATTTCATATCTGTTTTATAACCTAAGAAAAATCCATTCATTTAAATTCCAATTATCTTAGTAGAGGCTAAGTATTAGTATTAGAGTATTAGAGCCTTAGTATTGGAAACGACTAAGTACTAATTTGAGATCAAGCCTGAAAGAGGAGAAATGGTGTGTTCTCTAGTAATTCAAGTGAATTACTCCTTGCCAGGGTTTTTCGACAGTGGCACTATTGACATTTTTGGTTGGGTAATTCACTGTTGTGGGGGCTGTGCTGTGCAGTTTAGGATGTTTAGCATCATCCCTGTCCTCTGGCCCCTGGATGCCAGTAGCATCCTTCCTGAGTTCCTTCAACCCCCAATTGTGAGAACCAAAATGTCTGCCAGACATAACCAAATGTCCTCCTGAGGGTAGAATTAACCCCATATTAAGAACCATTGCTATGTATTTATATAACATATAAGTTCACATATGTATTTATGTAACCACTTATATATATCTTTAAATTTTATAATGCTTATTTTTGAGAGAGAAAAAGAGACAGAGTACAAGAGGGCAAGGGGCAGAGAGAGACAGAGTACAAGAGGGCAAGGGGCAGAGAGAGGGGGAGACACAGAATCTGAAGCAGGCTCCAGACTCCGAGCTATCAGCACAGAGCCCAGTATGGGGCTTGAACTCACAAACTGTGAAATCATGACCTGAGCTGAAGTTAGGTGCTTAACCAACTGAGCCACCCAGGTGCCCCTACTAACTTCTGTATTGTTGGTATGCGAAGCTTTAAATAGATTATGTTTATAAAAATATGAGATCATAACTTTTTATTCTTTTTTTTAATGTTTATTTTTGAGAGAGAGAGAGACATACACACAGAATGAGAGCAGAGGAGGGGCAAAGAGAGAGGGAGGTACAGAATCTGAAGCAGGCTCCAGGCTCCAAGCTGTCAGTTTGGAGCCCGACGTGGGGCTTGTACTCACAAACTGTGAAATCATGACCTGAGCCAAATTTGGACGCTTAACCAACTGAGCCACCCAGGCTTCCCATAACTGTTTATTCATATGGCTTGTACATGGTCAAAATTTTTGAAAATATAATATCCATTGAACTCACTAGTAATTTTGGGGACTTGTGTTTGCTCAACTTAGAGATTTCATCAGCTAAGTAATGGGAGAAATCAGTTTAAATTAATCCCCATTCTAATTGAATAGAATTTCACTTTAATGGTTTATTATTTTCTGCACATATGTGTAATTATTGGACACTCATTTTTGCTAAATGTATCCAGGAAGGAATTATTTTCTAACGTAGTTCCTCAAAATTATATCTCTTAGACTTTATGACATTTAAATGGCATGGACTCTAAGGCTAGAATTCCTGAGTTCAAATTCTCTCTCTGCCATTTGGAAGGCAGCTATGCTCACCACTATACCACCAACGCTGCTCCTCTCTCTGCCTTTGGTAGTTGTGTGTCACAAACTTAATCCTTCTGTGCCTGGAATTTCCTCAGATGTAAAATGCCTGGCACATAATAAGCATCATAAAAATTCACTAAGTTTTTTATGTTTTTAAATGTTGAGGTGTTTATTTGTATTTCATTTCAGTTTTTTAAATCCTGCCCTCCCATTTCTTCCCCTTTTCTAATATATGGAAGTCGATGTTGTTCTAAATATTTTAGTGGTTTTCTGTCATACCACCCCTCACATATACTTATTCAGCAGGTATTTATTGTGCCCAATTATGTGCAGGGCTCTGTGTATAGGGCTAGGTATGTACCAGTTAGTGGTTCTTGATTTGAGTACTTAATGATGACAAGTAAATGTGGAACTAACTTTTAAAGCCAGTACGGGCAATGATGTCACTGAATTGTACTACACATTTGTCAATTACCAGTTATTAAGAATATCTGTATTTTTAAAAAAAATTTTTAACGTTTCATTTATTTCTGAGAGAGAGAGAGAGAGAGAGACAGTGTGAGCAAGGGAGGGTCAGAGAGAGAGGGAGACACAGAATCCGAAGCAGGCTCCAGGTTCTGAGCAGGCTGTTGGCACAGCCTGACATGGGCCTCGAACCCACAAACCGTGAGATCATGACCTGAGCCGAAGTCAGACGCTTAACCGACTGAGCCACCCAGGTGCCCCAAGAATATCTGTATCGAGATACAATTTATATACCACAGATATAATCCACCCATTTAAAGCATATAATTGAGTGGTTTTAGTATTTACACAGAGTTGTGCAGCCATATCCATAATTTAATTTTAGAGTGCTTTCAACACTCCAAAAAGAAACCCAAGAGCCATTAGGTATCACTTTCCATTCCCTCACCCCCCTGCCCCAGGTAACACTAACCTACTTTTTATGTCTATGGATTTGCCTGTTGTGGACTTCTCACAGATATGGAATCATAAAATTTGTGGGGTTTTGTGACTAGATTATTTCAGTAACCATGATATTTTCAGACTTCCTCTTAGTTACATGAATCAGAACCTCTGTTTTTTAAATTGCCAAATAATACTCTATTGTATGCCTATACCATGTTTTCTTTACCCATTTGTCAATTGGTGAATATTTAGATTATTTCCACTTTTGGGCTATTATGACTAATGCTGCAGTGAACATTAGTATGCCATTTTTTTGTGTGAACCTGTTTTCATTTCTCTTAGGTATATATCTAGGAGTGGAATTGTGGGTCATATGGCAATTCTGTTTAACTTTTTGAGGAACTGCTAGATTCTTTTTCCAGAGAGGCTGTACTGTTTTACATCCTAACTGGCAATGTAGAGGACTGCATTTTCTCCACATCCTTGTAATACATATTATTATCTTCTTTTTTATTATAAATGTTCTAGGGAATACGAAGTGGTACCTCATACTCATTTGTATTTCCCTGATGGCTAATGATGTTGGCATATTTCCTGTGTTTATTTGTCATGATATATCTTTTCTAGAGAACTGTCTATTCACATCATTTGTCCATTTTTCAATTGGGTTATTTATCTTTTATTATTGAATTATAAGTATTCTTTATATATTCTGGTTATTAGACTCTTATCAGACACATGACTTGCAGACATTTTCTCCCATTGTATTGGTTGTCTTTTTACTTTCATCATGGTGTCACGTGCAACACAGAAGTTTTGGATTTTATTTAATCTTTTTTAGTTTTAGATTTTAATATAGCCTAGTTTATCTAATTTTTCATTTGTCACTTGTGCTTTTGGTATATTATATTTGCTATATTATATTATAAATGAGAAACCATTGTCTAATCCAGGGTTATAAAGATTTACTCTTATATTTTCTTCTAAGAATTTTATGGTTTTATGCTTTTAGCTCTTACATTAAGTCTGTTATCCATTTTGAGTTAATTTTTATGTATAATGTAAAGAAGGGGTCTAAATTCATTCTTTGTGTATGGGTATCTAGTTTCATCACCATTTTTGAAGAGACTGTTTTTTCCCTACTGGATTGTCTATGTACTCTTGTTGAAAATCACTTGCCCACTGCTATGGGACTGAATTGTTTCCCCCTCAGATTCATATATTGAAACCCTAACCACCAAGATGATGGTGTTTGGAGATTATGCTTTGGGGAGGTAATTGGATTTAGATGAGGTCATGAGGGTCCCACCTCAAGATTGTAGTAGTGCCCTTAAAAGAAGACTCCCCTGAGAGCTTGTTTTCTCTCTATACCGTGTGTACTGTGTGAGAACACAGTAAGAAGGTGACTGACTACAAGCTATGAAGAGAATTCTTACTGGAATCCAACCATGGTGGCTCCCTAATCTTGCATGTTCAGCCACCAGAACTGTGAAAAATAAATTTCTGTTGTTGAAGCCAGTCTTACTCCTAAACCATAAGCCATTAGCCATATTTTGTTATGATAGCCTGAGCTAGTCCACATGTAAATGTTAGGGTTTATTTCTGGTCTTTCGATTCTGTTCTCTTAGTCTGTATGTCTGTCTTTAATGCCAGTGCCAATTGTCAGTTGGACTTTTGTGAGAAATCGAAGTTGGATTTTTGTGTTTTTATGTCCTGCATCCTAGTCTTTTATTTATTTGCTGACATACATTTTGCCTGTAATCCAAATCATATTGACTTTAGTGTAGAAAATTCTTTTTGGGTAATTAAATTTTAAGTATATTTGTGTCATTTGGCTTACTTTTCTTCTTTTTATGCTCTGACATGCTTGAATGATCTGATTTGTTAATTATTTCAGAGTTTGTTATATGAAACTCCTATATGCATAATTGGAAAATTGCCTAACCTTGTCTCACTCTGTGTGTAAGAATAGTATGACATAATTTAAACAGATACTTTAAGTGCAATATAAAATGATCTTAGGCTCATCACTGAGTTCTGAATATCAGTTTTAAAATGTGTACTATTTTTGTTCTAGGAGGTGGTATAGTGATATTGTCATAAGAGCAGGCTCTGTAGTCAGGCCTCACTTCTAACTGTGTGAACTTTGACTAATCACTTACTGTTAGTTTCCTGATCTGAAAAATGGACATAACAATATCTACCTTACTCAGAGTGTTATTGTGAGGGTTAAATGAGATGCTTATAAAGCACTTAGCACAATGGTTTGGCATACAGTAAACACTGAATATATTTTATTCAACTTATTTTAATAAGTTGTTTATAGTAGTAGGTCCTATAACATGACACATTTCTTGAGTGTAAGTTTATTATTTTGTTCTTTTTTAAAAAACATTTTAAAGTAATCCGCATCCAGCATGGGGTTTGAAATCACATTCCCTAGATAAAGAGTTCCATGCTCTACCAACTGAGATATCCAGGCACCCCTTGACTGTTTGTTTAGATGAGATGATGGGATCTGTCACATTTTTACATATCAGAGAAAGGGGGAAACGACATTAATGTTTTCCTGTGTTTATTGTCATTAAAAGTGATAGATGAAAAGATTGAGAGACAGCATGGTAGAGTGGAGGAGGC